CCACTACTCCTAACCCCACATTTAATTTTCAGAATTCTGCCTTACCATGGAACATGTGTAAATCAAAGGCACCTTTCCCTCTACCTCACCTGGGTCCTTAAATATGACAGTGCCATGTCTCCTCATAACATCTTGTCTCTTTGTTTTTCCAGTCTAACATACATGCATTCACCAGTGAAGTTGTTCTGGCAAAACACCTGGCACCAGCGTCTACCTGGGCATCAACCTTCATCCTGTTGACTCCCCTAGGCTCCAGTGCAATGCTCTCTGCCAGCAGGAAGTAGTTAAAGAGAAAAATCTTCGCCCCCTTTCATAATAATAATCATAAGATGGGATTTGAAAGGGTTTTGGCACAGACAGGACACTGTAGCCAGGAAAGCCTCAACCAGAAGCAGGAAGCCCTTATCTCCCCCACCCCTAGGAATTTACCTGTGATGCCATCTTCCCACCCCTGGGAATTTACCTATGGCACGAAACCTAGGACCAATGGGCTACCTGTGCATCCCTAATGCCTGCCTTAGGTTCCACCCCAAACCAAGGCTACTTACATACCCCCACGCCACATGTCCGCCCAAGAGATCGCTGGATGCCAGTGGTGGGGGATGCTGGTCATCTCTCCATGTTCTCAGAATAAAGGCCGCTTTTTGTTTTATACTTCTCATCTTTTGGAAATATCTTTCATCTTTTGAAAATAATCCTATCACCCAGAGCAGGAGAATAGGAGGAAAAGGGGAAATCCTGAGCTGCTGAGATCAACTGGAGGGGCATATTCTGGGGCCTTCTTTTTTTAAGAAGCACAGAATATTTAAAAATGGAAATCCAGACATTTAGCAGGGAAAGTTGCAGAAAGCAGCAGATTTTGGGTTAAAGAGTTTAGGAATATATTCCTTGGAGACATAATGTAAAATATTCCAGCATCACAGTGGTAGTTAATTATCTAAGCCCTCCTTCAATAGCCAAATAAAGCCTCCAATTTGCAGGAAGGCATCACCTACTTTGATTTAATAGCAATAGCTGACATCCAGAGAAGTATTTTAAAAAGCCTTTGAAAAGTAAGTTCAGTGATATCAAGCACAGAGCTGTGAAGCTGGTTCACAGAAGGACAGAGCACCCTCACATCCCAGTGGTCCTGTAAGTTTCTGATTGGTGGGACAGGCATTGCAGTGATCGCCCTGAAGTATTTACCACAAGAGTTAAACTATATAGCTGATTCTTTTTCTACCTGCATGGGACTATGTAAAAGAGTTGCATGTAATTTGATGTACAAAAGTTCCATTTTGGAGATTTTTATATTACTCAGAGTGATACATTCTTCACATAAAATCATCATTTCAAAGTATACAGTAATCTTTAGGATACTCACATATGCAAGCATCACCACTAATCCTGGAACATATTCATCATATGCATCTCTTCTCACAAACTCTGCAACATTATTTATCATGCTCATTCCGTTTTCTCTGAGCTTTGGCAAAGTCTCAGTCTGTGCTTTCCCTATGCTGCGCACAAACAGAGCACTTTGCACAGTGTTTTCAGTGCTCATCTATATGCAGCATAGCATGCATTCATACTTCATTCTTAGTTACAACCAAGTAATTCTGCTGTATGGAGATGCTGCCTTTGTTTATTCATTCAGGTTGTTTTCACTTTTGGCTATAAATAATGCTGCTATGAACTTAAGTACAAGTTTTGTGTAAAAACAAAGTGAGGTAAGAGGTATAGTGAATGTTTAATTTTTAAAAAATCACAGCCAAAGACACATTGCCATTAAGCTTCTTGCTTTAAGCACACCCATCCCGTCTTTCTTGCCACTTTCTGAGGCAGTTCTGGAAACCGTCATGTCTTTAGTTGCACAGCTGTGTCTGCCTTGATATTATGAATTGACTTCAAATGTTACTGATTATTTTGACTCTAGGGAAGAGCCCAAAGCAACAAGGACTCACTGTAACGTTTTTACAAGCCTGGCTTCCATTGCATGACAACAGCAGCATTTATGGAACTTTTACCATGCCTCTTATAGACACTCACAAAAGAGGACTTTCAGAACTGCCTCAGAAAATGGCAAGCACAATGGAAAGTGTGTACTCTCTGTGCATTCTAAGTGAGGGGGAGTATTTTGAAGGGGTTAATGGCAACATGTCTTTTGCTGGAATAGACTTTAACTTAAACACACTTTATATTTCCATCACATGATATGTTTTCAGTTGTCTTGGGTATCTCTATCCTTGGAAATGGAATTACTGGGTAACATGTAAGTTTAGCTTTTTCAAGAATTGCCAAACTGTTTTCCATACCAGCTGCACCAGTTTATGGCAACATATGAGATTTCCAACACCTTCACTTCTTTATCAATGTGGAAGAACAGCAATGATTTTCTATCCTTTTTTCCCTTTTCCTTCTTCTCTTTCTCCTCTTCACCTTCCTCCTCCTCCCTTTTTTCCTCATCTCCTTCACCTCCTCCTCCTGCTTACTGAAAGAGTTTTCAGAGCAGTTACAAGACACAATATAAAGTAAAGTGGCCTTTATTTAAAGAATGTGGAGAGAGACTCCATGACCCCTGGGGCCTGGCTTTTGCTCTGCCCCACACGTGGTGTGGGGGCATACATGTAGCTTAGGTTTGGGGTGGTGCCTAAGAGGCACTACTGATGCACAGGTAGCCCAGTGAAATTCAAGTCTCACCACAGGTAAATTGCCTAGGGGCGGGGAAGGTGACCTCAAGATAGAGCCCCTTGGTTTTGCCTCCCAGCCTCCCAGCGCTGCAGCTTCCCATTCAGGGCAAAATTCTCTCATTCCTGTCTTTTTATTATTAGGAAAAAAGGGCAAAGTTTTTCTTTCTTTTACTGATTCCTGCTGAAAGGGGGTGCTGTACTGGGGTTTAGGAGGGTTGATGGGATGGCGGTTGATGCCCAGGTAGAAGCTGGTGCCAGGTGTTTTATCCAGGACAACTTTATCACTGGTAAATGCCCGCACATTAGACTAGAAAAACAAAGAGACAAGGTGTTATGAGGAGGCAGGCCACTATCTCATTTAAGGACCCAGGTGAGCTAGAAGCAAAGTACCTTTGATTTAAATATGTCATTTTATCCAGACTATGTTGAGGTAGAATCATTGCCATGTGAGGCAGAATTCTGAAAAATAAGTGTGGGGGTTAGAAGAGGTGATTATTCCCCCATCTGAAAGGGTAAAAGTTAAAAGAGTGGGTAGGTAAGGCTTGTCTCTAGTATGTGTGATGTGGGAGTCTTTAGGAAAGACTGTTGAGAATCCTGCTGTAAAAATGATTATTAACAGAATGTCAGAAATTAGGAACCAAATTGGACAGCAAAACATGACAGCCTGAGAGTTGTGGCTGTGAGGCCTTGGTGAGGTGGAGATGGGTGGACAAAAGGATTTAGATCAGGGCTAGGAGGGCACCACTTAGCCTGAGTGATATGAAACCAGGATGGCGGTCTAGAAACTTTGACTGCTATTGAGGTTGCCAAGAAGACCAGGTATGGACCGCTCCACCTTGGTTGTAGTCCTTGAGATGATCTGCTGTAACAGGACTTTAGTTAAAGTATATCAGCAGTCTCCCTGGTTGTGGGAAAGGCTTTTATGTATCCTGAAAAGTACAAACAAAGATGAGAAGATAAAATTTATCTGTCAGTCTTGACCAATGTTGTGTCTGAGAAACTGGTGAATAGGAAAGGAAGGGGGTGCTCTGTGTCCCTGAGGAGAGGTTTTACTAGAGATAACAGGTGTAAGCTATTGAGACATCAGAGTGTCTGGGTCAGTCTGCATAAACACAAAGGAATAAAATGGCATTTTAAAGATTTAGGACTGTAAAGTGAGTGGTGGAGGGAGGGTTTGGCACCACTGAGTGGATTGGGGTAATAGCAATATTGAGTATCTTAAGGTCCTGTATTAGAGGGTAAGACCCATCTGGCTTGAGTACCAGGAGAATAGGAGTATTATAGGGTGAATGGGTATGTTTAAGAAAACCATTATCTAAAGGCACTTAATTATAGGTTTAAGTCTCTGTAAATGTTTGGAAGCTATGGGATATCGGGGAACACAAGGAATAATTGAAGAATCTCTGAGATGAATTAAAATAGGCATGGCATGGGCAGTACAGGTGGGATTAGAGGTATCTCAAACTATGGGATTGACCAAAGAAGCAGTGAGTCTGGAACCTGCATGAAATAGCCCTGTCTGTAAAGGCTGCATAGGCTGGCCATCAATACCCCCTATAGAGATTGAGGACTTAAGATAGCAGCCTGAAAACTCAGGAAGAACCCATACATGGCCTCTATGTCCACAAGCATAGAGAATGTCTTACCGCAGACCTCTAGTGGGACTTGGGACTCTGAGAAGGACACCTTAATGGGGGTTGTGGACCCTGAGCCTCATCAGTCTTCAGCAGCAAGTCTAAGTAGTTCAGTCAGTGATTAATCTGGCAGTGTTGACATTTCCTGTGAGAGCTAGAAGTTAGAAGGATGGCTTACCCACTCTCTAGTGGGTAGGACAGTTGCTCCAGTGGCCCTGAGGTAAGACCCCAAAGGAATGCCAGGATGGGGTACTCTCTTGCCCAATGTCCTTTTGTTGCATTCAAATCATGGTCCAGGAGGGGTTTAGGCAGCTCCACTTTGTGCTGGTTTACCTGTCTCAGAGTTCCAAGTGTCACTGCTAAAAGATCAGATTACTATTTTTTTTTTAATCTCTGTAGTTGAAAACGTGAAAAGCCATATTAAGAAGGTCCTCTGTGGGGTTTGAGGGCCAAGTTTAGCCTTTTGTCTTGGGTTCTGGTCCACAGTAGAAGGTCTCTGTAGTATCAATTAAGTCTGTAGGAGTCAAATAATACAATCAACAGGGTATCTACAATAATAACTTTAGTAATGGCTTCCCATAAGGAGGATAAGGTCTAGGGTATTTTAGGAACTGGCATGTCATTTATTTGCCATATATAAGTACCTCTTTATGCTGTTAAAATGTCTAATGCCATATGATTTTTGGAGGATGGCCTGTTTTATTAATTTTACCTTTTTATTTAGGAGAGAGATAAGCTATGGTGTCATTTAATACCAGTTGAATATAGTTAATTATAGCTTGGTGGAGGGCTGAGCCAGGGCTGGTGGATGGGCTGGGAAAGGCTCAAGCCTGGCCTCTGCCTCAGTGTTGGTCTTTGTTATGGATTAAGAACTGGTGGTCAACTTAATGCCAGCTGGATTACATCAGCATGGCAATTAGCAAAGATGCTCCACCTGAGGAAATTTGCCAGGATAAATAGGTGGAGTAGAAGGGAGATGTTGAGGGTTGAGGTGTTAATGCATTGTTGCATGGAAGCATTGTGGGTTCTCCTACATGTTGCTGTTTGAGTCGTTGGTTCTCCTGGAGAATCTCTGGTCCTCACATTGACCATTGCTTCCTGGCTCCAGAGGGGAAGACGTGTTCTGCTTGGTCTCCAGGCTGCACTTGGCATGCTGGCTTCCTGGCTAGTACTCTACTGTGCTTGTCGTCAGAGGAGCTCGGGGCCTCTATGTTGCTGAGGATGGCTGTGGTGCCTTTCAGGATAGCCCTGGTCTTTGTTGTGAATGTGATTTCTTGGCTCCAGCATAGAACCCTATTCCTTCTAGCACAACTCATTCATCCAGCTGGCATAGACTTTCTGGCTTCCACCGCTGACCCTTGCATCTTCCCGGCACGGATCTGTAAAAGAGACTGGTGTGAGTCCTTCTTGTGGGCTCTGGATCTCCAGTTGGGCTCATGGGTGGTATTGTCCTGAGCTCTGGGTTTTTAGCTGGACTCATGTGGGACATTGCTGTGGGATTTAGGTTCTTGACTAAGTAATCTATGTCTTTGGTGTTGCATATAAATTTCCTGCATTTTCCTGTGTTAACTCCCAGTGACTATTATAAAAATAATATTATAAACTCCGTGTTCTGATCTTAATTGTTCTCTGTGTGCAACCCCTGACTACAACAGTCTTGTTGTTTTGCGTGCATCATATAACCTTTTTTTCTGGAAAAGATCTGGTGGATCCCAGCAAAAGGAATCCCAAAGGAATTAATAATTATCTCTTAATTTCAGTTGTTGAACATCTAGAAGATTGATAACAGTACAGTACAACATAGGCAGTAAGCTTAACATAGAACATTAAATGGCTATTAACCACGAGTGTTTTTATATTTGAATGCTGAAGAAATTTGTGAAACATCTCTAAGCAAATGTCTGGATCTGAAAACGTTTGTCATCATACATTACATAAATTTTTGTTTAAAAATTATTATTTGACTGGTTTTCTAACGTTGGTATGATTTGTATCTCTTGGCTGGAAAACAAGAAAAAGACAGCAGAAATAATCCGAATTTTATATTTGAAAGCATGAATATACCATCAGATCAGCAACAAAGAATTGTCTTAGTCATATGAACTTTAGTTGAGGTGTCTCTAATAAGACTATGGAGATTATTCAATAAACAAGGCTGATAAAATTACCAGGTGGCCACTTTCCCCATTTATCAGTTGAAGTCTTATCCAATGTCTCCTCACCCCAAGAGATTTTATTTAACCAGTTTTAGCACCATTTTGACCAGCTGGCAAACTAGGTGGAAGCATGTTTTTAAATTTATAACCTAAATAAACCTTGATTAAATGGTTTGAGAATGTAAAAAAGGAAAAAAAAATGTTGAGCTCTAACAAGAAGGAGCAGCTGTTCACAGAGCAGGCAAATGGACAAACATGGACAGATATCTGTACAGAATAAACAGACTGAACAAACAACATATATATCTTATAAAATCAGAGTGCACTCAAATATATTTGACCAATTCGAACTGTATTAAGTAATCCTTTTGTAGATTTAGAGATCTCTGAGAATAAGAATTGGCCCCTTTTCCTCCCCGGCATCCCATTGTCTCCTCCTCCGAGCGGTGGTCAGTGACAGGGGCTGGGACTGGGCCTGGGACTGCTTGGGAGGTGCATGGAGCACACAGGGTGGGGGCAGAGCACACAAGAGGAGCGCGGAGCTGGGGCGCATCCTGAGAGCCTGGAGCAGCCTGCGCTGCCCCATCGGTGCACACTGCAAATGCCCGGCCTGCGTTGCCTGCGCCACCTGCACTGCCAGCACGCAGCCCAATGCTGTCTGCACACACCTCCCCCAACACTGTCTGGGTGCATCTCTCCCATCCCGGAGCGGGAAAGGTGGGCTGGCGCACTGCGTGGGGAGAGACTGAGAAATGGGTGAAGTGAGGAGGAAAGGATGGCGCTAAGAAAGCTGTGGGAAATGGTGTGTGAAGATATAGGGGAAAAGCTGTAAAGAAAGAAGCCACTTCCTAAGTGTGGGGAGGAGGAGGGATTCTGGAGGAGCAGAGGGAGAGAGGGACACATTCTCAAAACAAAGGCCTAAAGATGGGGAGTTTTTGTAAACTTGTCCTCAGTGTGATAAGCTATAAATAAAAGATCAGCTTTTTGGTTTTAGGTAGCCTTTTGTACCAGGCACCCCATAGGTATCATCACAGTCAGGTGAGCCAATGGACCATGATCTAAGCCAGGCCAGGCCATCACCTGACCTCTTAGACTGATGGTAACTGGTTCCAAAACTTGTGTTTTTGGTCATCACCAAAAAAGGCACAAGTGGCTTTCCCATGGATTAGTAATGGCTCTGCCTTGGGGCTGCCCAAAGGGAGGTGAGATCATTACCCAAGTCCAGGGAACAGAAAGAAAATCTGGCATGGGGCCTGGCCCCACCACAGCATAATCTTCGGACAGGATCGGCTCACCTGAAGTAAATGAATTAGACTGGTGTTGTTTGCAAACCATTGGTGACAAGTTTAGCAGCTCCCGCATGTTGAGAAGTGAGGAATTAATCCAGTATGCAGTCCAGTCCATGAACCAGCAGGGTACTCAGCCTGGGAGGGTCCCGGGAACCACTCATCTGTCAATTCCTGGTCAGGGAACCATCTGATAGAATTTTCAGCATGGCTAAAAAGATAAGAAATATGAAATAAAAGTGGCCTTTATTTTAAGAATGTGGAGAGAGCATATGACCTCCAAGGTCTGGCATTCTCTCTGCCCGACACATGGTGTAGAGGCATACATATAGCTTAGGTTTGAGGTGGTGCCTAAGGGGCATTATTGATGCACCAGTAGTCCATTGGAATTCATTTCGTGCCACAGATAAATTGCCTAGGAGCAGGAAAGGTGACCTCAAGGTAGAGCCCCTTGGTTCTGCCTCCCAGCCTCCCAGTTCTGCAGCTTCCAATTCAGGGCAAAATCCTTTCAATTAGGAGTAATACACCTGAAATTTCTAAAAAGACAGCAAGTGAAATAAGGAAACAAATCCATGAGGCTATAGAGAAAATCAGATTAGAAATAATCCCACACATAGAGAAAGAAATGACAACCTTAATAAATGAATCGGTCAGCTTAGCTAGAGACGATATAGATAAAAATAAGTACAAGATCATGGGAAGATGATGGAAACGTTGAATGAACAATACAGAAAAGAAGCAGAAGGCATGAAACAAACTCAAAGAGATATCCAAGAAATAAAAATTCTATTTAAAGCTGGTAAGACCCTTTGAATGGACTGAGGAATGGAGTTTGAGGACTGGATCATAGCTAATGATTATGAAAAGAAAGAACTTTTAAAAATAACAAGACATCATAAAATGATAATTCAACAGCTTCAAGATGATGTAAAGAGAAACCATAAAGACTAATAAGCAACAATGAAGATGCAGGAGTCAATGCAAATGACATCAGTAAACTATCTGCAGAAGTAATAGCAGAAAATTTCCCAACATGGGGAACGAATAAGATACACAGATAACTGAGGCATATAGAATGTCTAGTAGTCATAACCAAGATAAATCTACATCCAGACATATAATAATTAAGATCTCAGAAACTCAGCACAAAAACAGAATACTAAAGCTATTAGAGAAAAGATACAACTCACTATCAAGGAAAGCCTATTAGAATTGTGGCAGATTTCTCAGCACAAACCCTCAAGTCAAGATGAGCTTGGAGTGAAATGTTTCAAGGCCTTTTTAAAAAGCAACAGATTGATATATCCTGCAAAACTTTCTTTGAAATTAAATGGAGAAATAGGGTATTTCCATGACAAAGAACAACTGAAGAAATTCATGTCTATCAAACCAATCCCAGAAAGAGTACTGAAACACATATTAGATAGAGATAAAAATGACTTTAATTTCCAGAACAACAACAGAAACAACCCACCAGACAGGGCAAGCAATTAAACAAAGGGGAAAAGCAGGAAACCAGCAGCAGGAAAATAACATGACACAGTTGAATTAGTACATATCAATTATATCCATTAATATAAATGGCCTCAATTCACCTATTAAAAGAAGTAAGTTGCCAAAGTGGATCAAGAAACAGGATCCAACAATATGCTGTACACAGGAAACACATCTGACTCAAAAGGAAAGTCACAGACTAAAAATCAAAGGATGGAAAACAATATCCCATGCAACAAGGAACCCAGAAAAAAAAAAACAGGGGTAGCTATTCTGTTTACAGACAATGTAAGCTTCAAACCAAAAATGATCAAAAGAGATAAAGAAGGTCATCACATACTTGTTAAGAGAATAATTCAAGAGGAGGAGCTAACAATCATAAATTCATGTGCACCAAATACAGGAGCACCTAACTATATAAGACAAATACTAATAGACATGAAGAACCAAATATAGAATAACACAATTATAGTAGGGGATCTTAATACCCTATTGTCACAAAGAGATAGATCAACTAGACAAAAAGTTGGCAAAGATATAAAGAACCGAATCAAAACCTATGAATAAATGGACTTAGTAGGCATTTACAGAGTGCTCCAGCCAATCACATCAAAATACGCATTCTTCTCAGCTGTACATGGGGCATTCTCTAAAATAGACCATGTATTAGCCCATAGAATGTTGTTAAGTAAAGGCAAAGGAATTGAAATTATTCCATGCATATTTTCTGATCATAGTGCACTGAAATTGGAAATTAGTGACAAAAGAAACTGTAAAGCCTACATAAACACGTGGAAATTAAATAAAAACCTCTTGAACAACCAATGGGTTACAGGTAAAATTAAAAAAAAATTCAACAATACCTACAATTCAATGAAAATGCAGATATAACACTGAAACTTGTGGGATATAATGAAAGTGGTGCTAAGAAGAAAATATATAGCAATGAATTGTCACATCAGGAAAACAGAATGAGAACAAATAAACAACCTAATGTTCCACCTCAACCTTCTAGAAAAAGAAGAGCAAATCAAGCTCATAGAAGAGAGGAAATTAACAATATTAGAGCAAAAATTAATGCAATTGAGGCTATGAAAACAATACAAACAATTGATGAATCAAAAGAGCTGGTTTTTTGAAAGAATAAAATTGATAAACCTTTATCCAAACTTACCAAGAAAAAGAAAAATAACTCAAATTCATGCAATAAGGAATGAAAAAGATGAAATTACTATAGATCCCATGGAAGTTCAGAAGATCATGAATTCCTTCTTTGAAAATATTTACTCACATACGGTGAAAGACACAGAGGAAATGGACAGATTTCTATAAAAGTATGAATTACCAAGGCTGAATCAAGAAGGTATAACAATTTTGAATAACCCAATAGCAGCTACTGAAATTGAAAATGTGATTAAAAACTTACCAACAAAGAAAATCCTGGGTCCTGATGGATTTACAGCTGAATTCTGTGAGAAATTGAGAGAAGATTTAATGCCAACACTCCTCAAACTCTTCAATGAATTTGAAAGGGAAGCAATTCTTCCTAACTCTTTCCTGGAGGCAAGCATTGTTCTGATACCAAAACCAGAGAAAGATGCAACCAAAAAAGAGAGTGTCATGGTTTATGTCAGTGGCCCCAAGCCTCATGCAAATTATGGACATGACCAAATCAAGCATTTGTGATTGGTTCATTGTCTAGCACTTGTATTGGTGGTGTGAGTGTTTCACTTCCCAAGGGTGGAGCCAGGATACTATGTAATGTCAGGAAGAAGATGTGTCTTGCTCTCTTGCCAGTTTGTGCTTTGCTGTTTGCAGGTGGCCATTTATCGTGGCCCACCATGCCACCCTGCCACTTGGAGGTGCCACGGAGTATGGACAGAAAAATCCAAGAAATGTAAGAAATAAAGCTTTTTTCCTCCTAGCTTTAGGTGTCAGGTATTTTGTCTGAACAACAAGAATAAAGTAGCTAAAAGAAGAACTATGGGACAATCTCCCTAATGAACACTGATGCAAAAATTCTCAATAAAATACTGGCAAATAGAATGCAGCAAATCATCAAAAAGATTATACATTATGAGCAAGTGGAATTTATTCTAGGAATACAGGGATGGTTTAATATATGCAAATCAATAATTTTACACAGCAACAGAGCCAAAGACAAAAGTCACATGATCATCTCAATAGACATAGAAAAAGTTTTTGATAAAATCCAACACTTGTTCACAATAAAAATTCTACAGAAACTTGGTATCTACCTCAATCTGATAAAAGCCATCTATGGCAAACCAACAGCCAACATCATGTTAAATGGACAAAAACTGAAAGCTTTTGCTCTAAAATCAGGAACAAGAAAAGGATGTCCATATCATCACTCCTATTCAATATAGTTCTGGAATCATTAGCCGGGGCAATTAGATGAGAGAGAAATAAAATGAATAAGAATAGGAAAGGAAGAAGTTAAATTATCACTATTTGCAGATGACATGATACTCTACATAGAAGTTCCCAAAACTCTATCAAAAAACTACTAGAGCAAATTCAGCAGTGTAGCTGGATACAAAGTCAAAACTCAAAAATCAATAGCATTCCTGTACACAAATAACAAACTCACTGAGAGAGAAACTATGGAAATGACACCTTTCACAATATAATCCAAACCTGAAATACTTAAGAATCACCCTAACAAAGCATGTAAAAACCTATATGCTGAAAACTATAGTACTCTAAAGGAGTACTGTAGGAAGAGATTGAAGTGGATGTCAGAAAATGGCCAGGGATATCCTTGCTCTTGGTTATGAAGAACCAATATTGTGAAAATGTCCATACTCCCAAAACTGTTACACATATTTAATGCAATTATGATTAAAATGTCAATAACATACCTTACAGATCTAGAGAAAACATCCTAAAATTCATTTGGAAACAGAAGAAACCTAGAATAGCAAATGCAATCCTAGGAAACAGAGACAAGGCAGGAGGCATCACAATCCCTGACTTGAAATTATACTACAAAGCTAAAGTCATAAAATGACTGGTACTGGCATGGTACTGGCAAAGAAATAGACCTGAGGATCAGTGGAACAGATTAGAAGATGCAGACACAACTTGTAATAACCAAATCTTGGTTTGCTTTTTGTTTTTTGGTACCAGCAATTGAACTCATGACCTTGTGCTTGCCAGGCAGGCATTTGTGCCACTGAGCTAAATCCCCAGCCCTAGCTAAATCTTGAAAACAATCAAAATGCCCATCAACTGTAGAATGAATAAAAGATGTGATATTTTCATACAACAGAATATTACTTAGCTATAAAAAAATAATCTTGAGGCTTTTATTTGTAAATGGAGGCAACTTGAGACCATACTCATAAGTGAACTAAATCAAACCCACATTTATAAATATCATAGTCTCCCAGTATAAAAAATAAAAATCTAAAAGATAAGTAAGATCCCAAACACACAGTAGATATTGTAATAATGAAATGGAAAGAAAGTGCTCAAAAGGACAAAACTGCTGGGATAGAGGAAAGGAAGAAAGGAAAAGATTAAATGTATGTTGGTAAGCATATACAAATGTATGTATGTTTATGTACACTAGATAGATAACTATACTACTAATCTCTCTTAGGTCATCAAAAAGAATAGTTTGTGCTGTCATTGTTTGATTGATCGTGTTTGTCTCTTGAGTTTGTAATCTGAGCAACTAGTTCTGAGATAACAATATGCACTATATTTACTAGTGTTTATTCTCTACTTTTTTTCTTTTTTAAAATTCTGTATCATTTCTACTGCTTTTTTCTGTTTTGCTTTTTAAAATAAGAATTCTTCTTCAGTGATTTTCAAGTGTATAACACATTGCTATTAACTATAGTCATCATGGTGTACGATAGATCTCTGGAACTCAGTTTTCCTGTCCATTTCTGAGCAGTGTTTTCTACTTTATACCATAAGATGGTGAATTCTCTATACTCCCTATGCCTCAACTCAGGAATCATTTCTTAAACTCCATATTAGTAGGAAATAGTACTTAGATGTTAGAATCTGGAGATCTGACCATGGTGGAACCCAGGTGACTGTGCAAGAAAGCAATTTGCCTGTCCTCTTGGTAAGC